GCGGACGGCATCATTGCCGTGTTTGACGCGGAGGACGGCCAGCTGCTGCAGCGTGTCGAGGACCACCGAGGCGGCCGCATTACAGCTCTGCAGTGTGCGTGGGAGTGCAGTCGGTACAGTGTTTGGACTGCCGCGTCGGACAGCTCCGTCCAGTGTTGGCACCACGATGAGCACCGTGCCATGACAGGGGATCGGGAGCGCTTCAACGACATGCGCTGGTATTACGCTACGGTTCGTTGCCACCATGAGGCCAACGAACGTTTGCTGAGGCAGCAGCGAGAGTTAATGGAGCTAGTGGCGCTCTCGCAGGGTGGGGACAACGCGGTGCGTCATATGCTCGATATCAATGATGAAATGAAAAACTCATCTGTTTTTAACTGCTTGATGCTGCAGGAGCGCATGCGTGAAACAGAGAAAAAAACACGGGAGCTTCAGAATGAGCACTCCCGTGTACAGTCGGAGGTAGAGAAACAACAACAGAATCTTGAGGCGATGCGGGGTCGTCTTCAAAAGGCATTGGAGGCAATACAGCGAGCTCGCTCTGGGGGTTCGATAGCTGAGTTTTCGACTGGTGCTAATGATACCACAAAGAAGGATATGAGCACACAAGGAGCACAAGCACTAACAACACTAGCGGCAGCACAGTCGGTGGTTACTGCGCCTCCAGTTTCAACAATCCCGCCTTTGAATGCAACCGCATATCCGGCGCCAATAGCGTCTGTGCCGCTTCCAATTATCGCTTCTATTGCAGGCGCCTCCATGCCACCTCCGCCATCAGCAAGTGTACCACCTCCGCCGTCAGCAAGTGTGCCACCTCCACCAGCAGCAAGTGTACCACCTCCGCCATCAGCAAGTGTACCACCTCCGCCAGCAGCAAGTGTACCACCTCCGCCAGCAGCAAGTGTACCACCTCCGCCGTCAGCAAGTGTACCACCTCCGCCGTCAGCAAGTGTACCACCTCCGCCAGCAGCAAGTGTACCACCTCCGCCAGCAGCAAGTGTGCCACCTCCGCCATAATCGATTGTAATATCACCATCAGATGGAGGGTGGTGTCGTCAAATTGGAGGCTCTTCTGTGGCTATTTAGCGACGTCATCTTTGTCATTAGGCATCGCGTTTTACGAACAGCCTCCAATGCGGATGGTATCAGTCTAGCCTCTCAAGTTCTTTCAAGCATGTGGAGGTTCAACATAGAGTGCCTTAGTGACATTGCGCTTGAACTGTGAGGGGTCCACCAACGTGTATGCTTGTTAAAATAACTCTTGGTGTCCTGTGTTTTGTGCTTTGTTCAATCAAAAGGTGTATTCTTTTTGCTTTTGCTTCTATAGTTTCAACTGGCAAAGAAAGGCTCAACGCGTGGCTTTGCTACGAAACAAGGGCAATATGATAGGGAGGCTGCAGAAAATAAATATGCAAAGTGGGGAAACCATCGGTGAAGTCGACAAGGTGTTCATTGCGGCTTCACCCGTGGAAACGATGGTTACGTGTGGCCACTACGTGTGGATGGCCTTAGCGACCGGCGCGGAAGTGCGCAATGCCCGCTCTGCTGAGCCCGTACATGGATGGAACACCAACTCACAGAACGACAAGGGGACTGGTGGTATCTTGTCGCTGCTTACCGTGCCGACGCGAAGCAAAGGTTCGCAGGTGTGGATGGGTCTCTCAAACGGCAGCGTCGAGGCGTACGATGCGCAGTCATTCCTGATGGTGCGGCAGCTGGCGCGGCACGCCGGTGGGGTGTACTGCCTCGCGGAGTTCGGCGGCTACGTGTACTCGGGGAGCAGCGACTTCAAAATCGCGCAGTGGGACGCCGAGGATGGGCGGCTTGTGCGCATGCTGCACGGGCACAACAACTACGTACGCTGTCTGTACGCGGAGGGTAGCGCGGTTGTGAGCGGCTCCGACGACTGCAGTGTGCGGGTGTGGGACGCGGGGAGCGGGGAGGCGCAGCTGACGGGGCATTTCCACGGCCGCGCGGGTGTCTCTGCGCTGTGCCGCGTCGGTGTGACGATGTGGTCGGGTGACGATGCGGGGCGTGTGATTGCGTGGAAACTGAGCACGTGCGAGGCGCTGCGTGTCCTGCAAGCGCACGGCGGCCGCGTCGCCTCGCTGCGCAAGGTCGGCTCGCGCGTTTACTCTGGTGGGGCGGACGGCATCATTGCCGTGTTTGACGCGGAGGACGGCCAGCTGCTGCAGCGTGTCGAGGACCACCGAGGCGGCCGCATTACAGCTCTTGTTGCTCCATCCGAGCTGCGTCGTTTCTGCATCTGGTCGAGCGGAACAGATGGCATGGTTCGTTGCTGGTATCACGACGAGTATGTGTCTATGACGGATGATCAGGAGAGATTCACTGAAGGTTTTTGGTATCTTACTGGCTCCACGCCATATCGTGAGTTTCGCGATAGTGTGGTGAAGCACTGTAATGCTCTGCGCGAGAAGCTGAGGGTTGCAGAGAGAGAAAACGCACGCATGTTGGATGTGGTGAGTCTCTCCAATGCGTCTCTGAGTCCGAGTCACGTACAACAGCAGGAGGCAAAGCTTCAGGTAGAGTACCGCTTCGCCAAAGAGCGACAGGGAATTGTCGAAAGTGATCTTCAGAAGGGGAGAGAGACGATGCAGCGGCTCGAGAAAGAGACAGCCACTGTTCTTGAACTTCTACGTGTGGCCCAAGCCGAATTAAGAGTGTTGGATCCGACCGCAGTCTTTGCCACCCCGGGGATGATGGTTAACGTTAATAGTGGTGCAACAGAAGGAAGCACAATACCGTTTTCCTCTTCCACGAGGGCTGGTGGGCAGACCCTGGGCGTCTCGTCACTGCCTCTAGGTGTTTCGGTCCCTGGGGTCGGAACCTTACCGACGGTCCCTCCCAGCGGTGTTGCAGGCGCTGGAACGGCAGAAACTTTAACTTCACAGGGGGCACCTGCGGTTCCGCCCCCGCTCTCAAACTCCCTGTATGAGGCTAAGCCACAGCCATATTCAGCTATCACCCAGCCTTTAGGAGGCACTCCATCAACTGCAGAATCTGCGCAACCTTCCTCTTTGGTGACCCAGCCACTAGGAAGCATTCGATTTACGGGAGCGACGCCACCACTCTCTTCAGCTGTCGCACAGCCTTTAGGGGGCACTGCTTCGACTGCAGAATCTGCGCAACCTTCCTCTTTGGTGACCCAGCCATTAGGAAGCACTCGATTTACGGGAGCGACGCCACCACCCTCTTCAGCTGTCGCACAGCCTTTAGGGGGCACTGCTTCGACTGCAGAACCTGCGCAACCTTCCTCTTTGGTGACCCAGCCACTAGGAAGCATTCGATTTACGGGAGCGACGCCACCACCCTCTTCAGCTATCACTCAGCCTTTAGGGGGCAATGCTGCTGTCGTGGGAGCAGTAGCAACACCGCAGCCGTATTCTTCGACTCTTCAGACGTGGGGCAATACGGGAGTTGTACCAGGAGGAGTAGCACCACAACCAAGCACTGCGCAAGGTCCAGGTGTGTCAGGTGCGGCAGATGTTCTCGCGTATCCGAGCTCTGGTGCAGTTGGTGGCGCCTCTGCAACCGCGACTCCGGCAGTTCCCTCGATGTTTCCAGGCGCAGTCGCAAAGCCGTGCCCAGTGGACGGTGCACCCGCCGGCCTCCCACCCGCGCAGGTGCCGCCGCGGGAAGGCATATCATTGGATGCGTTGGCACGCGCCGCAGCCGTAGAGGGAGGTGGCGGATGGCATGGCGTGCAGTGGACGAATAAGAACGTTGGGTATTACATCCAGCGACGTTATTATGGTGCGGAGCCCAGCCTTCGAGCGCCCGCCCTTGAAAAGCGACAGCTGCGTCAAAAGCGAATGCCAAGCGTCAAGGTGGAACCCCGTAAAGTGAAGAAAAACACAGAGTAGATAGACACGTTCTGCCATAGATTATGATTTGCCTGCGTCCCTATAGACTGAATATAATATCAGTTTTCTGGTTTCATGTATTTCCATCATTTCTACTGAGTAGGAGATACTGATTCGTGTGTTACTTTCCTATGATTGAACGATTGATAACTTCATGCTTTCATCTGTCGTCATTGAAAGGGACAATTAGCTCCGCAGTTGCAGAGACTTGGTTCAGGCGATAGCATAGGGTGCACTTAATGACGATGGCGGCAGTTCCAACGCCACCAGCTGCTACCGTCCCACCACCACCGCCAGCTGCTACCGTCCCACCGCCGCCACCAGCTGCTACCGTCCCACCGCCGCCACCAGCTGCTACCGTCCCGCCACCACCACCAGCTGCTACCGTCCCACCACAGCCTGCAGCGAAGGTTCCAGCATCGTCAGGCACATTCCAAGTAACTCTGAGCAATAGTTACCAGCCGGTACTGCCACCTGTTCCACCAATGGTATCATCTGCAGCAACTCCCATGACAGCTCTCCCAGTTGTTCCGTCAGGGCCGCCGCTGCTGCAGTCGTCAGCGTCCGTTCCCCCGCCGGTTGTCGGTGCAGTACTGCCCCAGGTCTCTATGCCAACAGCAGCGCCTCCGGCGCCAGTTTCTGTGCCGACAGCCACCACGGCGCCCGGGAATGTTCTGGTGGCTGCTGCAGCATCGCCAGCTTTTGATGTGGTGCCCCCACACATTCCCGTTGTGCCACATGTCGTGTGGTACAACGAGCAGATCCAGCACGTCGCGGTGCCGCCTGCCCGTGTAGCCCCATCCAAGGATGTGAGATCGCTTCGGGAGCTTCGTGGCAAAGGAAATCAAATGAAGCCCTCCCTTCGAACTTTCGCGAATCGTTACTTGTGGCAGCCGGCGCCTTCAGCAGAAATCACGGCGCGTGAGCCGTGGCGCGGTGTTTACTGGCAACATGTGGACGTGCACCGGTACATTGCAAGGCGGTACTGCGGCAACCCACCACCAATAGAGTAGAGTAGAAGAGCCACACCAGAGGGGTGTCTTGTTTTCCTGATGCCATGATGTGTTGCCCGGACGAAATTGATGGCAACGGGGGTGGAGAAAGGATTGGTTGGCATTCCCCCTTCTTTTTTTTTGTTGTTGTAGGCCCCGGGATTCATGTGTGCTGTGTTCTGTTTTTTCTCCGCTTTGTTTGGTGTGTTCTTCACATCTCGACTCACGAATTGTGTGACTTGCGAGCTCCGTAGCCACTGAAGTCCTCGTCGCGACAATCCACCCGCATCAGGCTCTCTCTGCGAAGCAGTCGCCAGCAGAAGGTGCATTACGGAAAGAGGAGGAAGCAAGAAAATAAGGGAAAAGGAAGGCTTCACAAAGAGGGGGGCCAAGCCTTATCATGCTGCGGCGCACATCAGGGAAGAGGGCAATGCATGCCTTTGTGCGAGCACCGCATTACCGATCTGTTCCTAGCGCTGGGCCAAACGGCATTGTTATAAACCGTGACATGCTCGTTCACCAGTTCCGAGACTTCTACAAAACGCTGCAGCACTCCTCGCTGGTTGACAAGGTGCACTTGATGTCCGAGAGGCCGTCAGTGGAGGCGTTGCGTGTGGCGGATCAAATGGCTTCTATTGGGGCTACCTTTTTAGCAATGCCGCTTACTGGCATGGAGCACCGTGCGACGGAGTTCATGGAGTCGATGCGGTACGTGCGTGGCGCAGGCGGTCCCAGCACACTCGCCTCGTATCTGCAGGACACGGAGAACTGCCGCTGCCATAGCGGTGACATTGTGTGCCTTCCGACAGGTATTGCAGTTGGGCATGGCCCTCGCACTAACGCTGTTGCTCACGAAACACTGAAACAACTGTTTGAGGTCAAGGATGATCAATTCTCTTTTGACGTCTTCACACTGGAGCAGGAAGGTGACGCGCCACCGCTTGGTGACTACTTTGGTTTTGCCGGCAACAATGTTCTCCTCACGTGGAAGGACGAACACGGTCTGCTGGCGGTTGACCAGTATCAGCAGAAGCAGCCACAGGCCGAGATGAACGTGGTGTACCTTGAGCCCGGATGCCACTTCCTTTCTTTCTACGGCGTCGACTTAACAATGGATGTGCTGGTGCAGAAGGGGTACGAGCGGTCGATGGACAGTATTGCTGCTGCTGGGCTTAACCCCATCCCGGTACAGTGGTCAGAGATGGACAAGCTCGGCATCTCCATGCGAGCAGCTGTGCTACCGTTGAAGTTCCTCAAGGCAAACACTGGCGGCATGTTATCGCGGAATAAGAGCCGCGGTGGGAGGTGGCAGACGCACCAAATACCGTAAGAAAGGAAGGATGGGTGTGTGGGTGGAATAATCCCTGCCCCTTCTCACTTCTTCTCTTCACAGAGTCGTGTTGCCTTCGCACACCACAGAAGGTACGCGATAATTTTTGTTTCGCATTGGCTTCAGGGCGGAGGCAACGGAGCAAGACAGGAAGAGGTGAAAAAGGCAGCATCAGCAATACCAAGGGGAGGAACAATGTGTACTGTCTTTTCATTGCGTGATTATTTTGTTTCGTTTCACATTCTCTGAAAACTATCTTGCGCCTGTTTTTTTTTTTT